TATGTAAAGATACTATGACATTTTATAATGAACTAGCTGACACGGAAATGTCTGCAATATGTAATATCTCTGTACCAAATTTAATCATAATCGGATGAACTGTTTAGAAATACATAAAGGACACAGCCACACAGGGACACATGGACACTAGATCGTTTAACAGCCTGAAAAACAACCTGGCAGGAAAAACATTAAGCAAATATTTCAGCACCAGAACTGACACAATAGTAGCCGCCCCAACCTCGCCAACAAGATATCGAATAGACGTCAAACACAGTCCAGATGTACTTGATATTGCTATTATGAAAACGGGAAGTATTGGTTTCATACTTTAAAACCTCAAGCATGAACTATCTTCCGATCATTCCCCAATACTTCTGGACATACCACTTCACTCAAATCACACTTAACCACCCAAACCACTGTTTGTTACAAACTGGTAAAGAATTGAGGAAAAAATGGGAAATTTATCCCTTCCCTTCCCAAAAATCAGGTAAAAACTCCAGATTGATAACCTAATAGACAAACTGACATCCACCATCTCCCAAAAACTTAAAACAAGCTCATCCGCATTCACAGCACAGGACAGAAACCAAAATCCACCTTCATCCAAAAACAAATTAAGAAAAAACGAACACTAAGAGAGGTGTGGCAAAGGACCAGAGATCTAATTGTAAAAAAAGCCCTCAATAATCAATATTTTTTTGTACATCAATGGCATGCCAAAAGACAGCGAAGCTAACATTGTACTATTCGCGATTTACACAGTGATCTACGATTCCGGAGCAACGAACAACGCAGCGATAAGAAGGGTACAAAACAAATGAACCTTGCCAATCCTTGGTTCAAGGAATGGAAAATAACTTTAAATCCCACGAAAACCAAGGCAATAATTTTTACCAACCAATCTATGTACCAAGCACCATCTTTACATTTCGAAAACATACACTTAAGCTGGTCCAAGACAGTAAAATACCTTGGAGTGACCATCGACTCAAAACTTACTTTTAATCTCACATAAAAACTGCGTTACATAAAGCAACCGGAGCAAGATATACTTTGTTTCCACTACCCAATGAGTTCAGCCCGCTTCCTCTAAAAACCAAATTGTATCTATATAACTTGTATATTAAACCAATATTACTTTGTGCCCACCCCCGCGTGGGTTATAGGATATCTCGGCGAAAGAGATTATGGCGAAACTTTTTCGGCGAACGAATATATCGGCGAAATTACATTAAACACAAATATTTAAATATATGTAACACAGAGTTTGTTTCTAATTTAATACGTCAATAAATTCCTAACCAACAACTATTCTCCATCACTTTTCCTATTTTCTTATTGTACATATTTTGCTACACAATTGTGTACATTTTCTATTTTAATAAAAAAAAAAAAAATTAGTTATCGGTGGGGATTTCGTGGTCACGGGTTTAATCTTTAATTGTATTATCGATTATAATGTTGTTATTTGTCCGATAATGTTATAACGATAACTATCGTCTATCAGTTAAACTGTAATAACCGATTGGAATGTGTTTTTAAAGTTACAATGTGTTAGTGATCTAGTTGAAATCAAACGGTCCACGTTCCATATTAAGTACTGTGTTATTTTGTTATTTTGTTACTGTGTTATTTTTTATTAATTAAACTATGAGTACATTAACGATTAGGTCGAAACCAAAATTGGTGGACGAAAGTAATTTTTGCTACATTATAGATAAGTCACATAATGGAAAAGTAAGTTAAAATTATATTATTTTATTGATAAATATAAAGTATACAATTTGTATAATATGAATACTTGTTTAAAATACTACGTTTTTTTTTTGTAAATTAAATATAGATATACTGGAGATGTGAACGAAAAGAGGAGTGTCCTGCACGTGTTCACACAAACATAGGTTCTCGCGAGATAATTTTTCGTTCAAAAAAAACCCACAGTCATGCTCCAAATGTAGCCAAAGTTATTGCACTGGAGGCTACAACGGAAATGGTCAAAAAAGCAACTCTCGGAGTAAATTCCGCTCAACAAATTGTTGGTGAAGCTACACAAAATTTAAATGATGCTGTATAGCTCAACTACCGAAATTAAACACATTAAAACGAAAGTTAAGGTGAGTCATTGAAATTTAAATCAAAATTTAAAATCAAAAGCTCATAAAAAATTAGTCTGAGCATATTTAATGTTATTAGGCGAGTAAAAGAACGTGCTACATGGCATCCACCTTGTCCAACCAGTATAAGAGATTTAATAATACCAGACCAGTATAAATGTCTATCTGATGGATCACAATTTCTACTTCATGATTCTGGTGTACATGATGACGAACGATTTATAATTGTAGGATCGATGACTGGACTTCGTGCACTATCTATGTCAACGCGATGGCATGCAGATGGTACTTTTAAAACAACGACACTTATTTTTAAGCAATTGTACAGCATACATGCAGAAATAGGAAACAATTCTCTAGTGGCGGGTGCGTTTATATTAATGACACGTATGACCGAAGAAGCATATACTAAGTAATATTTCGTAATTAATTAATAAAAATTAAATTTAAAAAAAATTGATATATTTATATTTTATTTTTAGATCTTTTTCCTGTTTAAATACATTGTTAACACGCAATTCGACAAATTTAAATATAGTGTTAGATTTGGAATTAGCAGCTATTAATGCATTTACATCTGTATATCCTTCATGTAAAATAACTGTCTGCTTTTTCCACGTCTCCCAATGTCTGTGGCGTAAAATTCAACAAGAAGGTTTACAGACAATATATTCAACAGATGTTGACTTTGCAGTTAATGCAAAAATGTTGGCAGCATTGGCTTTTGTACCGCTACACGATGTAGTAAAAGCATTTGAAGAACTTGTTGACTATTTACCTGAATCTATTTTGCCAGTAGTAGATTATTTTGAAGATAATTTTATCGGTATATTATAAATACATACACATAATGTATAATATTTTACTAATTTTTGAAAATTTTTGAAAATTGTAATTTTAAAGGGAGGAGTATGAGATTTAAATTTTTAAATTTCCGGTTAGGTATTGTGGTTTCGCCAATATATTCGTTCGCCGATACGTCCATTCGCCGATATAACCGTTCGCCGGATTCACCGAAATGTCTTTCACCGAAATAGATTTCGCCGAATTAGCCGGTTACCCCCCGCGTGGCCACAAAACATAACTAAAACAAACTGGACTAAGCTGGAGGCGTTCCAGTCAAAAACACTGAGGATAGCAACGGGCAGCGACTGGTTCGTCTCCAACCATGCAATAAGAATGTCATTGAACATGCCATCAATAGATGACACTATAAAAAGCGAGAGAACTAAAATCAAACAAAATATAGCAAACTCAAACTTCGAACACATCAACGAAATAGTAAACAGAAAAAGCCATAAAGAACGATTCAAGAGAAGACCACTGACCTAACCAAACAATTCTTTTTTTTTTTTAAAAAGTAATTAACAATCTGTATCAATATTAGACACAATAAGAAGACGAGGTAAAGGTAAACGAGACATGAGGTTTTTGTTGAAAGAAGCCACCCATTGATGACACTTTCTGCTAGCTTGATAATTATTTATTAATTTTTTTTTTATTAAATTAGATTAAATTTAGATTTAATTTAAGTGGTCTCGACACCACTTACGCTTCAGACGTCTTGGAGGATTTCCTGGTATTGAGGGGTTGGCCAAGTTTTTTATTAGTTGATTTGGTTGATTATTTAGGCGGTAATGAAATCTTTTATAAAAGATTTTAGCTTCATCGTTTATTGTGTTAAGTTTTAAGTCGGTGTGTAGTGTATGATTTGACACGTAGGATGGAGCATTTATTAATTTCCTAATCGCAAATTTTGAAAAGTTTGGATTTTCAAGATATTAGTCTTTTTCGCATTGCCCCAAAGCTGAAGGCCGTAGGTCCATAATGGTTTCAAAAGAGTTTTATGTATAAGTAATTTAGTTTTAATAGCTGTGTGATTATAATTGTATAATAAGGGTTTAAGTAAGCGAAGACGGTGATTCAATGCTAATCATTTGGTTCGGATATAATGAGCCCACGTTAATCTTTGATCCAATGTAAGGTCGAGGTATTTGACTATCGGAGAGTGGGGGATTGGAATTCCGTATAGAACAACACAGGGCAAGGAGTATGTCTGAGGGTAACTTTTGTGTGAACGGATTTATTCTGATTAACTTTGAACCGCCATTTTTCCATAGCATTAAGATGAGTTTGTAGATTTACTGACGCTAAGATTTTACTATTGTTAATGGATATTAGCACTTTGTCATCAGTATAATCAGCTACTGATGTGTTGGGGGTAGAAGGTTGATCAAAAGCAAAGATGTTATAGAGAATTGGTGAGAGGATGCCACCTTGAGGCACACCAGCATTTATAGGAGTTAAATCAGAAAGAGCGGATCCGTAGTGAACTTGAAAAAAGCGATCCATTAAATAGGATTTGATGAGTAGATAGTAAGTAGGAGGAAGGAATTTCTTAAGTTTAAATAAAAGGCCATCATGCTACATTCTATCGAAGGCTTGTGCAATATCTAGGAACACACAGTTACAATAAAGTTTTTTTTCCAAGGAATACGAAATGGCATCTACGACTCTGTGTACTTGGTGTATAGTTGACTGAGACGCCCGAAAGCCGAATTGGGTATTAGGAAAAATATTCTTTTGAGTAATGATAGGTAGAATACGTTTCAGAATTAATCGTTCGAGTATTTTACCGAAAAATGGAAGAAGGCTGATTGGTCGAATGTGATGATAGAATGTCCTGCGGCTTATTTGGTTTAGGGAACAGGATTATAGTGGAGAATTTCCACAGTATAGGAAAATAAGAAAGTCTAAGTGCAGCATTAAATATGTGAGTGATGTGAACGATAGCTCTAGTTGGAAGGGATCTGGCTACTTCCGCAGTAATGCGATCATAGCCCGGTGATTTGTTTAGTGAGCATTTAAGTATGGCATAATTTACATCGTTTGGTGTAAATGACTTGACAGGGAGAGTATAGGAACGGAAGCGTTCAGGAACGTTTCTACCGAGTTCATATTTTCGCTGTCAATTATCTCAGAGTGTGGTTGAAGAGTTAGAGAAAGACGCTCCTTAAAGAGTTCTGATTTTTCAAGGTCAGGGGTGCCTAGACTACCATCTGATTTCTTAATAGGGAGATTCGGTGATTTGAAACGAAGAATTTGTTTTGTTTCCCTCCAGAGACTACCATATTTGGGAGTAAGCTTCAGTAAGTGATTTTGCCAAACATTTGTCTTAATTTTTGCTAACATTTTTTTTAAGGAATTAGCTAGGTTATTGTAAATTAGTTTATGGGAAGGGAGCCGAGTGCGCTGTAAGATAGTTCTAGCTCTCCGTTTTTAGATTATTTTGTTACGTATGTACACAGGTAAAGGATCAGATGAGGGAATAGTTAGAATAGTATTTGTAGCTGATCAAGCTGCAGTTTGTATAACATTAGTAAGGTTATGGATCGCTAAATCTATATCATCGGGAGTTTTTAGTTTTATGTTTAAATATATTTCTTTATTGACTAGTTCGGTAAACATTTGATGATCTGTGAATTTATTAAATTGTTTATGGGATTCTTTATAAGTTGGGGAAGTATTGAGAGTTTAGTTACAACAAACACACGAAACGACACACGAAACCACCATAGCATCAAAAATTAAATCTATTAGCCGGAGACTTAAACTCCAAACATCCGAGCTGGAACAGCTTCTCAACAAATACTGCAGGCAGAAAATTACTTCGCCACTCGGAAGCAAGCAATTATACAATTGTTGCCCCTGATTCACCGACACATTATCCATATATTCAAACTCATCGTCCAGACGTCCTTGACATCATACTACTGGATCTATCGTCAATTCAATATACAATAATAAATCACAATGACCTGTCGTCAGACCACAATCCAATCCAATTAAATTTAAATGCATCACCAATCTCAAAACACTTAAGAAAACTAACTGGGCCAAATTCAAAACAGAACTCTCCCAAATAAAAATCGACCGCGTTCAAACACCGGAAGAAATTGACAACAAAATCGACAATCTAACAACCACCATTCGAAATTCACAAGAAAATGCTTCCTACACTCCTAAACCAAAACAAATCATATCCCAACTTCCTGATGAAATAATGTTAGAAATAATAACCAAACGACAACTTAGGAAAATGTAGCAATACACCAGAGACCCGAGAACAAAACGTCTATACAACGCTCAAATTGCATACGTTAAAAATTTAACACAAAAATTTAATTTTGAACACAGACAAACGCAATGGAACGCTTTCACAGAAACGTTAAACTTCAAAAACAAATCACTATACCAACTAAACCGTCGTCTCCTCAACAAGAAAGCCGCAGACACGCCGCTACAAACAACTGCTGGCCACAAGATATTTGAAGCCGACGAAAAAGCAGAATTATTCGCAGACACCATGGAAAACCAATTTACAGGGAATACAGGAATTGACTTACAAGAAGCAAACGAAACCATCACAGAAATAAATCTTGACCAGACTACATCAAACATCTACATCAATCTCAAGCAAGTCCTAGACATCATCAATAAACTACCAAATGGAAAATCAGCAGGATATGATAACATATCAAACACAGCACTCAAAAACTTACCAAACAACATTATCACACAAATAGCACAAATTTTCACGGAATGTCTTCGAATTTCCTACTTCCCTAAGATTTGGAAAAAAGCCACTATCGTCATGATTCCAAAACCGGGGAAAAACCACTCCATCCCAGAAAACCACCGCCCAATATCTCTACTCTCAACCATTTCAAAAGTATTTGAAAAGATTATCCTGGGAACTCTGCGTACATACGTAAAACCTCGAGCGGAGCAACACGCATTAAGAGAAGGAAACTCAACCACCACACAACTCTTTCGTATATTCAAAAACATAAAAAACAATCAAAATCAAAATAAATACACTGTTGCAACATTTCTAGATATGGAGAAGGCCTTCGACCACGTGTGGCACGATGGTCTAATCTACAAATTAAAAACTAACACCGAACTCCCAATAAATACAATCAAATTAATTAAATCATTCTTATCAGATCGTTCGTTCCAAGTACGAGTAGTTGACCAACAATCAACGACAAGACAAATACAAGCAGGAGTACCGCAAGGTTCCTGCCTTTCACCTCTACTCTACATACACTATGTAAATGATCTCCCACTTCTCGACAGAATACAAACATCCATTTTCGCAGACGATACCATATTTCACACGGTCCATCAAAACAAGAACTACGCAATATGTCAACTACAAAGACAAATGGATGAGACCATGCTCTGGATTGACAAATGTAGATTTAAATTAAATATTGACAAGACTGAAACCATTATAATTGGAAGTAGACAGAATAAACATCTTCGACAAATAAAAATCAAAAACCAAGCTGTCAAATGGAAAAACCAAATAAAATACCTCGGCGTAGCGATGGACACAAAACTGACAATGAATGGACACTTAAAAACTACTACACAAAAAGCAAAAGGAGTCAGAGCCTCACTCTACCCAATACTAAACCAAAATTCCCCGATTCCACTAAGGACCAGAATCCAACTGTACACCATCTACATCAAACCAATCCTCCTGTACGCATCAGTCGTTTGGGCACCTCAACTTAGCCAATCAAACTGGCGGAAGCTAGAGGCTGTCCAAAACATTACACTCAGAACAATAACCGGAGCATATTACCTAACTACAAATGAAGCAATAAGACAGTCAACCGATTTTCTATCAATTTCGGAAACAATACAGTCGGCAATAGCTGTACGTATTTTTACATAGAGCTTCTGTATCGAGATTCCGTCACATTCGGGCTCTGGCCCAATAAACCATGACAAACTGACGAATCGTCCACTAGTGTGAGGGAAAAACATGAATTAAGAGATAAAAGGCAAAGCCTGGAGCTCTATATTGGCCGTAGGCCGTCCTACAAAGGCAAGTCCAAGGCAAGGCAAGAGTTTAGGTGATTCGAGACGGTGATTTATTAAGGGGTCGTGTATAGGCAATTCGATGTATTGTAGTCGTTTCGCAGTGGGTTTGTGTGCGAAGTAAATCATTAGTGTGCGTAGATACATTCGGAATCAGTGGTTCGCACCCGCATGCACATGTCACATAATAAAATATTTGTTCCAACGAGAAACTAATTTCAATCAATTGAGACCTAAAAGCCTGACAAAAATACGATAACTTAGAATGATCGGATTTTAGTTCTGTAAACATATTTAAATTCATCGTTCTTTTTTCTAGGTTATTGTGGGAGTCGATTTTTGAATAACTGTTTAACTTTTTAAAGAAAGACACAAACAATTTTCAAAAAATTGAGAAATCGAAATATGATTTAACGTGAATTCTAAAAAAAATATCGAAAATTGATTCCCACAATAACCTAGGAAAATTGTCAATGAACTCGAATCTTTTTACAGAATTGAAATCTGATAATTCTAAGTAGGTGAATTTTTGTCAGGCTTTTAGGTCCAAATCATGAAATAAATACGCTACATCGAATATCCTTAAGAAAACCGACGATTGATCGGAATTTAAATCAAGTACATTTTTAGTAGGAATAAATAAGTTATTGGGTATATTGGTCACAAAAATGTCTAGAACATCGGGAAAGACGAAGGCCAATATGTTGGGTCAGGTGTAGCTAGAACTTTACATTTTTTTAGATTGGTAAAATTATACAAGGTGACACCACTTGGGTTATTCACTCGGCACCCCCATGACTGGTTTTTCTAACCTAACAATAGATAAGAAACTCCAATAACCAATCTCTACAATAACACTTCATACTCTCTGGAAGAAGCGGAAAAGCTTGAAATAGAGTAGATCCATACAAAGCAAACCAAAGCAATGGACACACATTGTTCGCCTTTATAATAAATGTTTATAATAAGGTGTAAACAATATTTATAGGTCATAAATCATAATATTATTATGAGCTTACTTTTTAAATATGAGGCTATATAAATGTATAATTAATTGATAAATGTTTTAAATAATAAACTATTAGTGTTATTATAATATAATACTATACATATTATGTGAACCATTTAGACTTACCAAAAGAACCTGTAAATTGATTAAAATTTGTCATTTAAAATACATTTAAAGGTTATTAGAATAGGTACTATGATTCAAAAAACAGTCAATCAGGGTTACACTTATAGAAGTTAAATTTTAAAGTTATGAATTTTTTTTGTTGCTTGTGTAAATAAACATTGTCATTTTGTGTATACATTTTGAATTAAAGTATTAGTAATAAATTTATCAATAATTTTGATTGATTCAACTCTATCCATACTATGGCTAAATATGTGTACTTTTTTTCGTGGCTTCGAGAACCATTGGAGGGACTACGTTAGCATTACGTCCCCTAAATATGTATACCTAAACACTGGTATATTGCCATGATATACAACGGTATAATTAATAATTATATTATCTAGTTCGTTGTTTAAAATTAAACCATTATGTGCGCTGGTAACAGTTAGGTTCTCATAACGCCAGACATTTAAAGACAACAATCAATTCAAAGCCAGTCTATTCAAACAATTAATGTTAGAAGTAACGTCCTATCAGTGGTGATTAATGATTTCAATTAAGGCTAAATAGGTATTACCTAGATCGAGTAAACTATTACTATTATATTATTAGTAACTATTACCAGAAATTCTAAGTTGCATATGAAGGTTGTGGTTCATGACACTATTTGAAACGTTATTACTGCTTCTCTGTAAGATGATAGTGACCCTACACCACTAAATTTGGTAGTATGGTGTGTTTTCGTTAGTCTAAGAGCTGATATACAATGCTGAGTAATAAAGTTATATTGCGATCCATTGTACAGCAGTGTTCTGAACTCTTGCAATTTAACTTTGCTGTCCTTGATTCCCATCTCGGTAGTTCTTAGAAGCACGTTAGTCTGTTTTTGCAATTTGCTATGGTTGGGCGGCCAGTGGCCTATTAAGAGCACCAGGCTGACGCTTTTACACTCTATTTGAGGTGTTTCATGAACAATTTCGTGGTATTGAGAACCGGAAGGGGTACTACGTTAGCATTACGTTCCCTATATATGTATACCTAAACACCGGTATATTGCCATGCAATACAACGGTATAATAATATTATCTAGTTCGTTGTTTAAAATTAAACAACCATGCGCGCTGGTAACAGCTAGGTTCTCATAACACCAGACATTTTTAAAGACAACAATCAATTCAAAGCCAGTCTATTCAAACAATTAATGTTAGAAGTAACGTCTTATCAGTGGTGATTAATGATTTCAATTAAGGCTAAATAGGTATTACCTAGATCGAGTAAACTATTACTATTATATTATTAGTAACTATTACCAGAAATTCTAAGTTGCATATGAAGGTTGTGGTTCATGACACTATTTGCAACGTTATTACTGCTTCTCTGTAAGATGATAGTGACCCTACACCACTTAATTTGGTAGTATGGTGTGTTGTAGTTAGTCCAAGAGCTGATATACAATGCTGAGTAATAAAGTTATATTGCGATCCATTGTCAAGCAGTGTTCTGAACTCTTGCAACTTAACGTTGCTGTCCTTGATTTCCATCTCGGTAGTCCATAGAAGCACGTTAGTCTGTTGCATGACACTGGCGCAATTTATACTTGATTTATTGATTGAACTGTTTCAACTTCCAATGCCCTTGTATAAGTAGACATTAAACATTCTTTTTCTTGTGTCACTGAGTCATCTTAATTTTCTTCAACTTACTTGTTTTTTTGCATTCGACTTGTAATTGTTAATACGCAATAGTGTATTATGTTTGTTGTTATATTTTTGACATGATAGACAATCTGGTTTTAGACAATTAAAAGCTGTAGATTTTGAAGATTTTAAAAATTGGCGACAGTGGGAATATCTTGTTTGAAGTGTCTTGACATACAAATCACTTGTTTGACTTATTGTTCGTTGTAACTACATGCATGTTTGCCCGAGTCTGTGGTTTACTATGTCCTACAACAACGTGTCCAATTTGCTATTTGGTTGCACTTTGATACCATTTTTATCTCATATCTTGGTGTTATCTATGATTCGTTAAATAAATTATAATTGTGTCCCAGTGTACAACAGGCACATCTAACTTCTATACTTCTCTCATGATTTGATTCAATCCCATTATCAATCTTCTTAATTCGTTTGTGAATCCATTTCTTACTATAGTTTTTTGAAAAATTATTTTAAGGTGACTAGACATTAATATTTGTAAGTTCTCATACCTGTCAAACAATGATTTCCATGCAGCTTGGTAATTGAAGCCTGTAACTGGAATTGCTTTATGAATGGCCGTTAAATGTGCTCTTGAGGAACATGGATTATTGAACTGCTTATATTAACTCATTGTTGTGGACTAATGTTGAAAAGAGATCCCTAAAGTTTGGTTACTCTTTAGTATCACTATCGCACTTAGGTAAATCTACTTTGGGCAGTCTTACTTGAGTCTCGGTAGTTACTTATTGTTGATGTGTTTAACCCTAGGATGTTAATCCTTTCGTATGTGCATTTTAACTTTTGCTTGAATATCAAACATTAAATCTTCTAATGATCAACGTGTTTGTTCTTCTTCTCAATTGTCTGTTTCTTTTTCTAATTTTACATTTTACTGAAGTTTTTCAAGTGTTTCGCTGATTTTTAATATGGATTCACGTCGAGCTTCCAATTCACTTATGTCTTACGCACTGTTATCGAACAGCATCACATAGTTGTAAATGCGTGCTAACTTTGCGTTTGACCATTAATATTAATTAATACATAAGGTCTATGATTATGACCAAAAATCAATTATAAAAAAGACTGATAATGACACTATCATTTGTTGATAAGCGTATTTACTGATATCGATGTGAAGTTACAAATTGTAGGTTTAGTTTATCCCTTTATTTGAGTACCTTATGGCTTGTAATGAGATTATGATTTTTGATTGCTGTTTGTGTGATGCAATCCGATTTTACTTACATGAACGATGATTCATGATACTTACATAAGCGATTAACAAATAGGTAAAGGATCAGATGAGGGAATAGTTAGAATAGTATTTGTAGCTGATCAAGCTGCAGTTTGTATAACATTAGTAAGGTTATGGATCGCTAAATCTATATCATCGGGAGTTTTTAGTTTTATGTTTAAATATATTTCTTTATTGACTAGTTCGGTAAACATTTGATGATCTGTGAATTTATTAAATTGTTTATTGGATTCTTTATAAGTTGGGGAAGTTTTGAGAGTTTAGGTGATTCGAGGCGGTGATTTAATAAGGGTTCGTGTAGAGGCAATTCGATGTATTATAGTCGTTTCGCAGTGGGTTTGTGTGCGAAGTAAATCATTAGTGTGCGTAGATACGTTCGGAATCAGTGGTTCGCACCCGCATGCACATGTCACATAATAAAATATTTGTTCCAACGAGAAACTAATTTCAATCAATTGAGACCTAAAAGCCTGACAAAAATACGATAACTTAGAATGATCGGATTTTAGTTCTGTAAACATATTTAAATTCATCGTTCTTTTTTCTAGGTTATTGTGGGAGTCGATTTTTGAATAACTGTTTAACTTTTTAAAGAAAGACACAAACAATTTTCAAAAAATTGAGAAATCGAAATATGATTTAACGTGAATTCTAAAAAAAATATCGAAAATTGATTCCCACAATAACCTAGGAAAATTGTCAATGAACTCGAATCTTTTTACAGAATTGAAATCTGATAATTCTAAGTAGGTGAATTTTTGTCAGGCTTTTAGGTCCAAATCATGAAATAAATACGCTACATCGAATATCCTTAAGAAAACCGACGATTGATCGGAATTTAAATCAAGTACATTTTTAGTAGGAATAAATAAGTTATTGGGTATATTGGTCACAAAAATGTCTAGAACATCGGGAAAGACGAAGGCCAATATGTTGGGTCAGGTGTAGCTAGAACTTTACATTTTTTTAGATTGGTAAAATTATACAAGGTGACACCACGCGGGTTATTCACTCGGCACCCCCATGACTGGTTTTTCTAACCTAACAATAGATAAGAAACTCCAATAACCAATCTCTACAATAACACTTCATACTCTCTGGAAGAAGCGGAAAAGCTTGAAATAGAGTAGATCCATACAAAGCAAACCAAAGCAATGGACACACATTGTTCGCCTTTATAATAAATGTTTATAATAAGGTGTAAACAATATTTATAGGTCATAAATCATAATATTATTATGAGCTTACTTTTTAAATATGAGGCTATATAAATGTATAATTAATTGATAAATGTTTTAAATAATAAACTATTAGTGTTATTATAATATAATACTATACATATTATGTGAACCATTTAGACTTACCAGAAGAACCTGTAAATTGATTAAAATTTGTCATTTAAAATACATTTAAAGGTTATTAGAATAGGTACTATGATTCAAAAAACAGTCAATCAGGGTTACACTTATAGAAGTTAAATTTTAAAGTTATGAATTTTTTTTGTTGCTTGTGTAAATAAACATTGTCATTTTGTGTATACATTTTGAATTAAAGTATTAGTAATAAATTTATCAATAATTTTGATTGATTCAACTCTATCCATACTATGGCTAAATATGTGTACTTTTTTTCGTGGCTTCGAGAACCATTGGAGGGACTACGTTAGCATTACGTCCCCTAAATATGTATACCTAAACACTGGTATATTGCCATGATATACAACGGTATAATTAATAATTATAGTATCTAGTTCGTTGTTTAAAATTAAACCATTGTGCGCTCTTGTAACAGTTAGGTTCTCATAACGCCAGACATTTAAAGACAACAATCAATTCAAAGCCAGTCTATTCAAACAATTAATGTTAGAAGTAACGTCCTATCAGTGGTGATTAATGATTTCAATTGAGGCTAAATAGGTATAACCTAGATCGAGTAAACTATTACTATTATATTATTAGTAACTATTACCAGAAATTCTAAGTTGCATTTGAAGGTTGTGGTTCATGACACTATTTGAAACGTTATTACTGCTTCTCTGTAAGATGATAGTGACCCTACACCACTAAATTTGGTAGTATGGTGTGTTGTCGTTAGTACAAGAGCTGATATACAATGCTGAGTAATAAAGTTATATTGCGATCCATTGTACAGCAGTGTTCTGAACTCTTGCAATTTAACGTCGCTGTCCTTGATTCCCATCTCGGTAGTTCATAGAAGCACGTTAGTCTGTTTTTGCAATTTGCTATGGTTGGGCGGCCAGTGGCCTATTAAGAGCACCAGGCTGACGCTTTCACACTCTATTTGAGGTGTTTCATGAACAATTTTGACACTTTAGGATAGTGCTGATAGGTGGGGGTGACGACTAAGCGATAGCCTGTATGCCAATGATTTTGATAGGTGTAGTGCCTCATCCTTTAGATTGGCAATGGTGGTAGAGTTTCGTAGGTTATTGTTGTTTACGAGATAGTGAGCGCCTGTTATGGTACGCAGTGTCATACTTTGGAAGCCCTCGATTTTGTTCCATGTGGATGGACCAATGAGGTGTCTCCAAATCGGAGCGGCATATAAAAGAATTGGTCTGATATAGATTTTGTAGAGTACCTACCTGCCTTCATAAAGCTAATGCTTGCCACTCATAAGCAGGACGAGTGGGATAAATTTCTCTTCTCGTTGGACACATCTGATGGGTCCATCTATAAACTAAACAAAAACCTTCTTATAAGCGTCCAGCAACTCACCCGCTTATGGGACCAAACGGCCTAACTTACTCGGCTATTGATCGCGCAGAACTATTTGCTGATACGTACCAGCAACAGTTCACGCCAAATCGTGGCCCAGTCCTCCCAGAAGTAATTAGCAGCCTAACATCTATCAATGATGCACAAGTCAGTAGTAATGACTATACAACCCCTGGGTTCATCAAAGACATCATAAACCATCTACCCAAACGGAAAGCCCCGGGTGAAGATCAAATCACGAACAACGCTCTTAAAAACGCACCGAATAATTTTATTCTTAGGCTAACGCATATTTACAACGGTTGTATTCGTCTTTGCTTCTTCCCAGACGACTGGAAAAAAGGTCAAATCATAACCATACCTAAACCGGGAAAAGACCACGCTGACCCCGTCAGCTATCGTCCTATCACGCTCCTACCTACTATCGCCAAAATTTTCGAAATAATCATTCTCAGAAAACTGAAGTGCAAAACCGAACACCTGATCAAGGATGAACAGTTTGCTTTCCGTCGCCAACACTCTACCGTTCTTCAACTGATCAAGCTCACGGACCAGCTCTGCAAGAATCGTAATGACAAAAAATATACTCCGGCTATCTTTCTCGACGTGGAAAAGGCCTTCGATAAGGTCTGGCACGAAGGTTTACTCCACAAGTTAATCACAATCGGTACTCCAATTCACATAGTTAAACTTATCAAATCGTTTTTATACGGCAGATATTTCAACGTTCGAGTCGAAAATTCCGTCTCCAGTAACCGTCCAATCAGAGCAGGTGTGCCACAAGGGTCCTGCCTGTCACCGTACCTATACCTTATTTACACCAACGACATACCTGTTAACGTAAACAGCAGTCTCGCATTATTCGCCGACGACACCATGTTTTATACCTCAAATCGAAACCCGAAATACGCAATTGCTGCACTTCAAAAACAAATTGACCTGGCCTTAACGTGGTTCAAAAACTGGAGGCTAGGCATCAATACAAGCAAGACAGTAGCTATTCTGTTCAACAAAAACACCACGCTTAACTTGAGTAATATTACCATGGCAGGAGTACCCATCCCGTGGACTAACCATGCCAAGTACCTCGGAGTCAGTTTTGACAGATATCTAACCTTCAATAAACACGTTAAAAATACTCTTGTCAAAGCGCGTAGATGCAAAAACATGCTTAACCCCATCCTAAACAGCCGAAGCCCAGTGCCGCTCAAAACTAAAATACAAATCTACCTCATGTATATCAGACCTCTCCTAACATACGCCGCCGAGGCCTGGGGCCCTTGCATCTCTCTCTCAAATTGGAAACTAATTGACTCAGTTCAGACCAGCTGCATACGGACCAGCGCTGGCCTCATGAAATTCGTATCCAACCAAAACGTTCGAGACTCTGCCAGACTAAAAACCCTACGTGAAGTAGTCACAGAAAACTCAAAACGCCTATTCAATCGAAACACCCTCTCAAATCATAGCCATATAAAAGAATTAGGCCGTGACGAAGCCGAAACGACAATTAAGACCACTCCAAAAATACGACCATTCGATTGGTCACATACATAAAATCAAAATCGTTATCTAATTATCTACTTGACATTTCCATCAACTCTTAATAGGCATCTGCCTGAAAAGAGTACATAGGCCAATCAATGGTCGTCCTACATGCAATGCAATGCAAAGGGCGCAAACTCACCTTCGACAAACACGTTCAAGATATCACCAAAAAAGCCACTCGCGTTCGCGGAATTCTTACCCCATTCTCAACCGTTCTAGCTCTGTCCCAAAATCTTCAAAACTCAATATTCTAAAACTCTACGTCTCTCCAATTCTTTCTTATGCTGGCCCCTCTTGGGCACCTTTTATCGGTCCCTCACATTGGAGACGTATCGAATCTGTTCAAAACATCGGCATTCGCACGATTACGGGTATGCCCACTATCGTTAAAAATTCGGTCCTTCTAAAATCAGCAAATTTCAAGTCAATCAAAAATTCTATTCATAGCCAATCCAAATCGATGTTCTACAAAAACTCTTTCTCTACTCATGCCCACATCCGACTCTTAGGGAAATCTCACACCCCTCCAACTACAAAGCGTAGAATCAAACCTTACCCTTTGACATGGGTTGACCAACAAATTTAAAACCACCTTCCTAAGCATCCATCCACTAGTAGAGGCAAAAGCCTGGTATAGTTTCACGGCTTAGCCATCCCCCCAAAGCAAAAGATTTTGTAGATAGTTAGTCTGTTGGATAGTGAGACCGTACTGTTGCGGTTTAGGACAGGGTAAAGTGCCACCCGGGCACAACGCGCCTTTTTGATGGTAATTTGGATGTGATTAACGAAGCTCAGATTGTGGTTGAACGTGACGCTAAGGTATTTTGCATTTTTGCTCCATTCGATGGTTTGATTTTGGATAGTAAGTTTCATGTCAAGATTTTTGTGTTGGGGCACGAATAATACCGCTACTGTCTTTGCGACGTTTAATTTGATTCTCCATTTGGTAAGCCAATCTGTCATAGTATTCAGCTGACGTTGAAGGGCCATAACTGCGTATTTATAGTTCCGGTTGCTGGCGTATAGTAGAGTGTCATCAGCAAAAAGAGCCAGTTTTACTGGTCCTATTGTGGGGAGGTCGCTTGTATAAATTGAATAGAGAAGCGGAGATAAGCATGATCCCTGAGGAACGCCTGCTTTGATTTTGCGTTCCGTTGAGAGATCAGAAATTTTGATTTTGAACGTGCGATTACTAAGAAAGGATTCTATCAGTTTTACCAGTGGAATAGGGACGTCAGCAAGCATACGTTTGTGTAGAAGTCCTTGGTGCCAAACGCGGTCAAATGCTTTCGATATGTCCAGAAAAACAGCCGCTGTATTCTCTCTTTCTTTGGATCTTAGTGATAGTTCGTCAGTTAGTGTTATTAATTGAGTGGTTGTAGAATGGCCCGTACGGAAAGCATGTTGCTCGAATCTGATTTTAATGTAGTTGTTCAGTTTCCGTAGAATTATCCTTTCGAAGATTTTGGACATAGTATTAAGTAATGAAATGGGTCTATGGTCGTCTGGTATTTGATGGTTCTTCATGGGCTTGGGGATCATAACAATCAGGGTTTTGTTCCACTGGTCAGAGAAATAGGAATGTCTAAAGCAAGATGTGTAAATATTCGCTAGGAGTACGATGGCTATTTTTGGTAGTTGTTTTAACGCTTTATTAGTAATGCCGTCCTCGCCCGGTGCTTTCGCTGGCGGGAGATGTTTTATTATGTCCCTAATTCATTCGGTAAAACGTAGTTTTCTGACGGGGGAATATTGGGAGCTCGTAGTTTTGCGATGGAGTCATTTACTTCAAGTAGTGGGGGACCTGGGTTGTTTTGGAACTGTGCGGTCATTGTGTCAGCAAAAAGCTCAGCCTTTAAGTTGGAGTCGTATATTTGTGTCTCAGCAGGAGTTCTGAGCGGTTGAGATGGTGGTGGATTATGGAGAAGTCGACGATTCAGTTTATATAGAGATTTATTTTTAACATTTAGTGTGGAGGTGAAGAGTTGCCACTCATGGAGTCTATGTTTGGTGAGAAAATCTTTAACGTAGGATACCTGGGCGTTGTATAGTGTTTTCATGCGTGGGTCTCGTGTTTGTTGCCAGTTATTCCGCAATATACGTTTGGTATCGATCTCTAATAGTATTTCGTCCAGTAGTGGTTTCAAGAGCTCTGATTGACCCACTGAGTAGGAACAGTTCTCGCATTCATTTTGGATATTATTCGTAAGTTGGACAATGTTCCTATTGATGTCTGAGATGGTAGAGATGTGGTTAGGTTTAATCCGAGGTGCTAGTTCAATTTCAAATTTTTTCCAATTTATGCGCTTTCTTGCTCTAGGAGGTCCGCATAGTGACATTCGAGATTGTATGTTTATAATCTGGGGGTTATGGTCAGAAGAAAGGTCGCAGAGGTTGGTGATGGAGTAGTTCCAAATTGGCGTATCAAGTAGAAAGATGTCGAGGACATCCGGGCGGTGCGTAGGAACATATGAGAAGTAGGTCGGCGAGTCGGAAGCCACGACCGAGTATCGGTTTGACGACTCGGCGTGTTGCGCTAGGGTATTGCCTGACTTATTGCCAGTCTGTGTGCTTGGCGTTTAGATCACCGCCGATTATGAGTGGGCCATTGTGATTGGTTAACGCATCTAAATCTGACGATTTTAAGGTAGCGCTTGGACTTTTGTAGACCGCCGTGTACATGGTTGATTTCGTTTTCTATTTTTATTTGTGCGGAGGTTGAGCCAAGTTCAGTTAAGACATTGACATGATAATGCGTAATTCCACGGCGGATTAGTACTGCAGTACCCCCGTTTGGTGGATGTCTTGGCAGCGGTTGACGATCGGAACGGTAGATGTGGTAATTTAGAATTTTGAGTTGAGTTTTTGGGTGAAGGCGGGTTTACATGGATGTTGTAGAGTTTTACAAATGCTGTTAGTTCTTGTGTCTTTTTGCTGATGCCATTGCAGTTCCAGGCCATGATTTTTATGTTAGACATGATGATTTTCAGGAATGGAGTTGAGAATTGACATGACTGTATTTAGAATAGCGTCTTTAGAGTTTGAATCTGGACATTTTTGAATGGTTCCAAATAGTTTTTTGATAATGCTAAGTATTTGCGTCATTGTGACAGCAGGTTCAGTGGGATTTGAGGAGTGAGATTTTACTATTTCAGCGTAAGTTACGGAGGTAGTTTGATGGGCATTTGGCGGTTGAGGTGCCATCGTTTAATATCATTTAATATCGTTTAATCAGCCATTAGTTATACTTCAGTTCACATCCGAACAAGTCCAACACCACTCAACTTACAGCCAGCCTTCAGCAGCAGCTCCTCAAACAGCCGTATTCACCGCTCTCAACAGGGCATCAGCGCCCACGGTTCACACCCGAACCGCGTCACCTAAACAAGCCGTTCTCACGGCTCTCAATAGGGCACCAGTGCCCACAGCAAGCCGCCGTAGAAGCGACGTCTTCACCAACAGCCCTTTTCACCGCTCACAACAGGGCACCAGCGCCCACATCAAGCCGCCGCGGAAGCGTCGTCGGCGTCAACTAAACAGCCGTTTTTCCCCGCTCTCCGACAGGGCACCAGCGCCCACAAGTAAGCCGCCGCGGAAGCGACGTCCCTCCGTCAACAGCTGTCGTGGGGCCGCGCCCTCACATTGCCACAGCATCCCCTCCCCAACAACTACACCCAAATAAAAATGGCAAGAGACAACAAACGTAGGAAGGTTGGACACCCCTCTTCCAAACCACCTCCGAAAATAGCAAAACAACGTGCAGCTCCCCCTTCCCCATCAATTTCTAGTACTTCCGACTCTGAAACCCTAGACACTTTCTCCGACTCTAGCACTTCTACAAACCACTATCTGTCCTCTGTGACATCCAAGATCTCGGCTTCACTCACTCCAAAAACCGTTACCACCCCCACCCCCACCCCTACTGTCCAGACACCATCCAAACCCTCATCAATTCTCAGACCACCCCCTATCATTTTAAGCTCCACTTCCTGGCGAAAAGTCGCGCCCACTATTTACTCTCTTCCAAACTTGCAACCAAGCTCCCTGTCAGTTAAATCTTCCGGCGAACGGGTAACTTTGCGGACCGCTGATGCGACTCAGTTCGACATGGTCCAGAAGGCACTATCCCAACACGGCACGGAGTTCCACACTTTTTCCCTCCCTGAGGAACGCTCCCTTAAGGTCGTTCTCAAGGGAATTCCAAACGACATATCAACGGGCGAATTCCAGGTCGAGCTAGAATCCCTGGGTTACACCGTTCAACACGTCCGCCGCTTTGGAACTCCGGAGAAACCTATGCCCATATGTGCAGTACACATCGCCGCCAATCTTACGGCCAAAGACATTTTTACCCTAGACAACTTGTTTTACCTACAAATTTCTGTTGAACCCCTCAAATCCTCCGGCCCGGCCCAGTGCTTTTCATGTCAACGCTTTGGCCATGGTTCACGTAACTGTGGTCATCCGCCGCGATGTGTAAAATGCGCTGGAAACCACACTGCCAACGTCTGCCCCAAAACTTTCGATCAACCCCCGACTTGCTGCAACTGTGGTGGCTAGCACACCGCAAATTCCCGTGGCTGCCCCCAGTTCTTGGTCCAAAAGCAACAAGTAACTCCATCCTCATCCCAAAACCCCGTTAGTCAACAATCCGTTCAACCAATCTCAACCACTCCACCACCACCTCCCCCCCCACAAAACACTACACTGACATACTCCGCAGCTACATCCAAAGCAGCCCACACTCTTTCATCTCCCCCACTCCCACAACTTAACTTGGCAACAATACTTAACCTGCTCACAAACCTACTGACTGCACTTTTAAACAATCAAGACCCCAAAACACTCATACAAACAACTATTCAAACTTTCCTGTCCATTCCCTCTCCCAAAAATGAGTAATTTAAAAATACTTTTTTGGAACTCCAACGGCATCAAACACAAACACAACGAACTACGTCCCCTAGCACTCCTTCTCAAAACCGACATAATTCTACTTAACGAAACCCGTCTACCCCCTTCTTCAAAAACTTCACATTCCAAATTTCTTCACATACAGGAATGATCTGCCGCCCGTCCGCGGCTCGCCTGCTGACGGCGGAACGGCTGTTCTAATCCACCGACGTATCATTCACCAACCTATAACTCTTAACACACTCATTCAAACCTCTTCTGTCCTCATCCAACTAAACGGCAACGAAGTCCTTGTATCAGCGGTATACAAACCACCAGGTGCAACACTCACGTCTCACGACTTGGACTTGTTGACCCAAAGTGCCGAATGGCAAATCTCTGCAGGTGACTTCAACGCCAAACACCCTCTCTGGTATAGCCACTCGACAAACGCTGCCGGTCGCGTATTTTCGATCACGTTCAACAATCGGACTATACCATTACTGCTCCCTCATCCCCCACACACTTCCCGACAAACGCTAGATACAGACCTGACATACTTGACATCGCACTCGTTCGATTACCTTACCCTACTCAAATCGACAAACTCAACAGCTAACTTCTGACCACAACCCTATCCTTCTGGAGACCTTGTGTACTCCGGTATCATCGTCCCCTCCAACGACAAACCGCTTCATTAACTGGACAAAATACAAGACAATTCTATCCAACTTACCAAACCCAACTGAACGACCGACCACCAACAGTGAGTCAATTGATTTGGCAATTGATACTCTCACCAAAAACATACAACAAGCGATCGAAGCGTCAACTTAACGCCAAAATCTCGCTAATCAGAACTTTACTCGAAACTCACAAAACTGACCAGTGGGACATTTTTCTTAATTCTCTTGACCATCAGGACGGTTCCATATACAAATTAAACAAATGTCTCCTCCACAAACGTCCTGCATCCCACCCTCTGACCGGCCCCAACGGTCTAGTTTTTCCGGCCATCGATCGAGCCGAGTTGATAGCCGACTCTCTCGAACTCCAATTCTAACCAAACCCTGGTCCCGACCTTCCATAAGTTTCTGCCCACTCCAACTCACTTCGACACATAAATATCACCAAATCTAATTTATTCACCACTCCTGGCACAATCCAAAAAATCATAAACAAACTCCGCAAAAAGAAAGCCCCTGGTGGCGATCTCATCACCAACACTGCTCTTAAATTTCTACCGAATAACATTCTACTTTCCTTAACACAAATTATAAATTGCTCCCTCAGAATTTCGTCTGATAGCTCAGTGTCGGTTACCTCAAGGGGGATTCCTTTGATGACCATTTTCAGGGATCTTTCTTCTTGTTCAGGAAAAGAGAAGTACTCTATGGTCTCCTGGTTTGCATCCAGGAACTTTTGGATGGTACGGAATGATTTTTCGTCAGGACAGTTTAATTTAATTTGTGAAGGAGTAGATGTAATTTTTGCAGAGATATTCTCGAGACCTTCTAGTTTGAACAACTCCTTGGCGATTTTGTGCCATGGAAGACTTGGACGAGTTTGAACGAAAATTGGTGGGAAACGGACAGTGGTGTTTTGTAGTGGTTGTAGTTAGTCTGTTGAGGCGACCGGGTTAATTTGAGATATGGATGGTGGTGAGAATGCTTGATTGCGTCCTTTCTTTACGGAGTTGTGTGGAGGAGTGGATTTACGTTTGCGTTGACTGCGATTTCCCCGGTTGGTCATGATTTGGGAGTCCTTCGCTTCGGTGCGAGACCCAGCCGTGTCACCCCTTAGGTGACTTGCCTCGTGGTCGAGATGGGGGGAGTGATTTGAATTTCTACTTACGTAAGTGAGTGTTTCGCTGGTGACTGGAGAGAAACCGTCATACGGTAGCTTCGTTTCAGGAGCGTAGTCAGCGAGCTGTGTTGATGTCTGAGTTGGACTGCAAAACGTGGCTGTTGAACTGAGATACCAATTGTGAGTGATGATGATTAGTCTGTTGCATGAAACTGGCGCAATTTATACTTAATTTATTGATTGAACTGTTTCAACTTCCAATGCCCTTGTATAAGTAGACATTAAACTTTCTTTTTCTTGTGTCACTGAGTCATCTTAATTTTCTTCAACTTACTTGTTTTTTTGCATTCGACTTGCAATTGTTAATACGCAATAGTGTATTATGTTTGTTGTTATATTTTTGACATGATAGACAATCTGATTTTAGACAATTAAAAGCTGTAGATTTTGAAGATTTTAAAAATTGGCGACAGTGGGAATATCTTGTTTGAAGTGTCTTGACATACAAATCACTTGTTTGACTTATTGTTCGTTGTAACTACATGCATGTTTGCCCGAGTCTGTGGTTTACTATGTCCTACAACAACGTGTCCAATTTGCTATTTGGTTGCACTTTGATACCATTTTTATCTCATATCTTGGTGTTATCTATGATTCGTTAAATAAATTATAATTGTGTCCCAGTGTACAACAGGCACATCTAACTTCTATAATTCTCTCATGATTTGATTCAATCCCATTATCAATCTTCTTAATTTGTTTGTGAATCCCTTTCTTACTATAGTTTTTTGAAAAATTATTTTAAGGTGACTAGACATTAATATTTGTAAGTTCTCATACCTGTCAAACAATGATTTCCATGCAGCTTGGTAATTGAAGCCTGTAACTGGAATTGCTTTATGAATGGCCGTTAAATGTGCTCTTGAGGAACATGGATTATTGAACTGCTTATATTAACTCATTGTTGTGGACTAATGTTGAAAAGAGATCCCTAAAGTTTGGTTACTCTTTAGTATCACTATCGCACTTAGGTTAATCTACTTTGGGCAGTCTTACTTGAGTCTCGGTAGTTACTTATTGTTGATGTGTTTAACCCTAGGATGTTAATCCTTTCGTATGTGTATTTTAATTTTTGCTTGAATATCAAACATTAAATCTTCTAATGATCAACGTGTTTGTTCTTCTTCTCAATTGTCTGTTTCTTTTTCTAATTTTACATTTTACTGAAGTTTTTCAAGTGTTTCGCTGATTTTTAATATGGATTCACGTCGAGCTTCCAATTCACTTATGTCTTACGCACTGTTATCGAACAGCATCACATAGTTGTAAATGCGTGCTAACTTTGCGTTTGACCATTAATATTAATTAATACATAAGGTCTATGATTATGACCAAAAATCAATTATAAAAAAGACTGATAATGACACTATCATTTGTTGATAAGCGTATTTACTGATATCGATGTGAAGTTACAAATTGTAGGTTTAGTTTATCCCTTTATTTGA